CCGCGGCGCGACCATTTCAAAGTCTGCTGGACAATAACCGCGCCACCGCTTTGTGAAACGCGCCCTTTCTTTGCCGGTTACCTGCCCCTCCCTCCACTTCTTTACCCCTCTTATCCTCCCCCTCCCCTCCTCCCCCGACAGCGGACGTCTTTCTTTCTTCCTTTATTTTTTCAGTTCTTTTTTTTTTTCGTCCGACTCCACAGACTCTGTGGCGCGCTGTACTAGCTGAAGACGGAACGAAACACGATTGGTTTTCTGTTAAGTTTGGGACATGTAACGCGTGAATCACTGCGCTCTGACCACTTGACACAAGCGACGGCGGCGGCAGACTGCTCCGTTTCCACGCGGATAGGAGCTGCTTTCAATGCTTAAAGAGCGGCCGAGTTGATGGGAATCGTGATGTTGCTGAATAACCGTGCTTGATTTGACCACCATTGCCAAATACGGCCACAGGGCTCAGGATTAAAAATATCTAGAGGAAAATGCTCTAATGGTTGTGAATAATCCAGGTTTCTTGACCTCTTTCTTAAATGCTTAGACTTTGAATTCGTCGTGAAAGAAGATGAAACGTGTGTGCCAATGTTTCAATGCTTTATTACAGTAATATGAAGGTTGTTTCAATTTTCATCATTCTGACCCTTCTGAATGTTAACTCACAATCTAAGAGAAGATAAATTTATTTGAACTGCATTTATTTGAAATGGGCATAACCCGGTGGCAGCCCTGTAACATCGCACTCCGTATGTGAACGTCGACCAATTACAAAAGTCATTAAACCAATTCAATCTACTCCGTAGTATCTCAAAATCCAAAGAATGAGAAAAATTAGCATGTTAAACATACGTACGTGTATTCTCTTGTTTGGTTTCATCTGAAGACATGAAGGTAGGAAATTCTAACATTCTAATAATAATAATAATAATAATAATAATAATAATAATAATAATAATAATAATAATAATAATAATAATTATACGAATATTCACTAATAATAATAATAATTATTACTATTATTATGATTATTATAATTATTATTATTATTATTATTATTATTATTATTATTATTATTATTATTATTATTATTATTAGTGAATATTCGTGCCACTGGTGAACGGTGAAATTTGACTAGAACGGTTTAGCTCCAGAGAAATTCTTCAGTGTATGTCCTTCCACGTATTTCGTGGAAGAGTCGTACTTACATTTTCTGGCGCTTTATATCTCAATACTGTTCCACAATTATTATTGAATGTGACGGCTAGGAACACGCATTGTGATAATTTTCATTTATATAATCATTCTCTAATATCAAGGCGAATTTATGCTGTTAACGTGTTTTTTCTTCTTTACCGACTGGATTTGTGATATAAGGCTTCTCTTAAAATTCCAGCAACTTGCAGCGTATCTTGAGAAACATGACCGTGTATTATTTCCGAGCTTTAAGAGGAAAGAAACATTTCGTTCTGCATTCGTTTCGTATTCGCTCCATTCTCGTTCCATGCCAAATTCGTTCCATGACAAATCCTCTGTTCTTGCGAATCTGTAGGCAAAACGGCGTTGTATTCCACTGGGAATAAGGATTTCTCTAACAGAACAACATTTAAAAAATGATGTAATTGACAGATGAAATCATTTGAGTGAAGATAATTATTTTTTTATTATTGTACTGTTGATGAAAATATTTTCATACTTACAGGAAAGGAGGTAACCGTTTTTTAGTTCGAATTTAGAGGCTCAGAATTCTCATTTTTATTCAAGAAATTGAGGGAAAATAGATTAAATCTTGTTTATTCCATGTCATTGATCTTTCTTGCTTATGGCCGGTGCAACTAGGAATCAGCAACACGCTGAACAAGATAACTCTGGATTCTCCAAGTAATTCGTATTATCCAAGCTTAATTGTTTGAGCAAATAGCTTGCTATGTTTTCATTTTGTAAGCATCCGACCTGGTATTATATTTGTAGTTTTGTGACCGTTACATGGAATTCACGAATAGTGCCCAAGTGCCAAAATGTTTGCTCTCCAAAACGTGTGAAGTGACCGGTTCGTAATAAGGGCTCGTAAGCCACAATATTGATCAAAGTATCCAGAAGAACGACCGGGCTTTGCAGGAAGTGCACAGCTGTGGGTCGGAGAGGGAGTCCGCGGGGGTGCAGGTTTACGGCAAACCTTTGCCACGAAATCGAGGCGCCACCGTCGTGCAAGTGTGGTGGAGATTATGGCCTACTAGCGAGCATGACCCGATGGTTGAAGTAAACATTTCTTTATGTACCCAGGTGTGTCGTTTAGCTCATGGCGCATCGGAATGCTTCATCATCAGCAAAGAAAGAGGGCAACGGGCAGGTGCGAAGGCAAGTGCGACGGCGTTCAAGCCAGGGAGTGGGAAGGTGGGATGAAAAGGGCTCAGATGGACGAACGTTAGATTAAAACATGTGAATTCTTAAGAACGGTTGGGCAGGGCGTGAAATCTAATATACAGACACGACAGGGGGTAGTTTCGTAGTGTGTTTAGAGTACTTTTAAATGGACTATTATTATTATTATTATTATTATTATTATTATTATTATTATTATTATTATTATTACTACTATTATTATTATTACTATTATTAAGGTGGTGTTCCATATATCAATTGCAGTAGAGTGATAAGGTGCATTAGTCAGGGTATAAATCAAAGGAAAATAAGAACAAAATGTTATTTTAGAAAAAAAAACACTTGCGGAACAAATAAAATACATTCGCAATAAAACTAGAAAAGACACTGTTCAAATTATATAAAGTCATGGCGGTACGCCAACTGCTCTACGGGTGTAAATCGTGAACAATAAGAAAAGAATATAAAATGAAGGTACAAGCCTTTGAAATGAAATTCCTCCGGAGAGTAAAACGCTGCACCCTAATGGATAAAATAAAAATTAAACATATGCGACAGGAATTTAACATATTTTCTATTAATGAAAAAATAACTGAATACAAATCACGGTAGATACAGCACTTACGAAGTATGTCTCACGAAAGGATCCCTCTTCATGCCCACCTATACAGACCAAGGGGAAGAAGGGACATTGGCTGTCCTCGACAGAGGTGGTGTTATGAAGCCGGAACAGGGAATCTCCGTACCCGTGAAGTGAAGGAGAAGAAGAATAAGAAATATAAATTAATTATAAATAATGTATCAATTTGTAATAGTAATCACGTTTGCCGCCGAACATTAATTCAAAGTGAAATTGAATGAATCTACTTATCTACCCTTAAAAAGGATATCTTGAGTTTTGTCGCGTACGGGTGCTTCCTATCCAACAAACAAACTCATAAAGAATTAAATCATTAATCAAATCACAAATCAATCATTAAACACAGCTCATCTCTCCAATATCTTTTATTCAAATATCAACTCTATACCACACGTCAGCCACTACAACCTCACTTAAACGGCTATACTCCATCACGAATAAAAAACCGATACTCTTTTAACGCCTTTCTAATCATATTCTCGAACAATTGAGAACAGTAGGCGCAGATTGTAGCTTCCTACCCCTTCCTGTAGATAGAGTTGGTTTTTAGATTAGGAAATAAGAATAGTTGTATGCCATTCAATGCATAAGAAAAGTGATGTAAACTGAACTATGTACTTCCGAATGAAAAATAAATATGTGTAAAAAAAACGGGTGTTTCCGGCTCCGGTCCTACCCCGTTGCGTGCGGTCGCCGCCGGGAGAGCTATTGGGGGTGGGTGCCCCGCCCCCTCCCGGGTTGAAAAGAGGGGGGGGAGTCGCGCGCGATGGAATGTGCCCGGACCGGCGGCGGCGGGGGCGGAGGCGGCGGCATTGCGCATCTGTCCATACATGCGCGTCGACGCGGCCTGTTAAAATGCCCCGGATGGTTGGGTAGTGACGGAGGAGGCGGCGGTTGTGGTAAGCCCAAGACGCAAAGACATGGCTGGGCTACTTCGGGGCACCGATTTTTGTTCGTTCTATGCACGCCAGATACGTCACGATCTACGTGGCCCTAACACGGACACTTCGTTTGAACAGCCAGGCCAGACGCTGGCCGCCAAGCGAGAAGGGTTGAGAAACTGTTTGAAAGTGGCATAGAGTGAAAATTTTGAACGGTGACCAACGATATAACATGGTGTTGTTGAAATACAATATGCAATGTTTATTAATGCTTCATATATGTTTTATCAGTTGTAACAAAGTGATCATTGTTTTGGTATCTGGATACATTTAAAATTTCCTCTGATATTGTGACGTGAACTGGTGTATGAATCGCATTAGCTACGCAGCGGCTCATCATTGCTTCGTGGAGAAACCCAAGCCAGACACCACGCACACGCGCAGAAGTTAAAATGTTGTATGCGCTGAGGTGCTCCACGCTGTGCAAAAAGACTAATGAAACTCACAGCGGTTGGTATCGACGCACTTTCGATATCTCGCATCTTCTATGAACGCCCTCCTGCTGAAGCTGGGTGAAAGTCTGTGTGGATTGCCAGGGCTGGCTTTCGAACGAACTATTAATGCCGCAAAGGAAACTAATTTGGTCCGCATCTTAGAGCATTTTAGATATTAGAAACGTTTTATAAAGAATCAGACTTACGAAACATGGCCCATCAACTTCAAGAAGATGAATGAATGAAAATAATTCAAGTCGGTACGGACAAAAAGCGAAAAAATTATTAACATTTTTGTTGGTCAAATATAGTGTTGACAAAATAGTTTCTCTTAAGGTCTAGTCTTGGTTTTCTGATTTTAAGCGAAATAATAATTTGTTACATCTAAGAATGACATTTTCAGTTACAACATTCTAATGGTATGGTGACTTTTCGTACGAAGGTTGTAAGCCTAGCATTCTGAGAATCGAATACGGCGTTTATTTAATCTATTACCTCAAACATTATTTACAAAACCTTGATTAGTAGAATTTTATATAAATGCTTTTACTACGAGTAAAGTTTTGTACGTTGTCGAAGAATGTGATTTTTTCTTCGAAAACATCTTATAAATGAAAAGCTCATTGGAAGGCTCTACAAAAACGGACACAACTCTGCATTTTTCTCCATTTCACACGAATATTCTAATGAATATCGAAGTTCTTGGAGAAGTATCTGTGTCAACATTGGATGCGTTCCTTTCACCAAAGACTTCCTGCAAATACGAATACGGTAGACATAAACGCATATGACTTGACATTCAAGTTTATGCTAATATTTACTTTAATGGCTGATGAAATAGCCTACGTACAAAGAATGACTACTAGCTGTAATGTTCCACTCAACGAAATAACTTTCTTTTAAGGGATTTGATTAACGCATTTCGAAAGACACCATTTTCGAACTCCTTTCAGTATATTTAAAGATAACCCCTTGCTGCATTGTATCGTAGAATTCAGTTGATTTCATAAACTACAGAAAGTGAGAATCATAGCAGATAAAGAAGGGCAACATTCTCAAAGGTAGCTATCTGTATATTTCATATGCGTATACATTTATAAACGAGAATTGAGCATCGAAGTATATAGAGTTAAACCTACCTTTTGGTGTCCAGAAACCTGAAACTTCTGATGAGCGCATCTGAAAATTCCTCTTACAGGTAGATGAACTCTTCTGTACACCGTGTATTATATCATGGCATGAATAGATGTTCGCTGCATTTTGTGTTTCCGTATTAGAGTGAACGGCTTTCAATTGCAGTATCTCGTTAGGAAATCCTTTTGTAAATACACCTGAATGTGGTAGATGTAGAATAGCGGATGTTTTGAGAGAGATCAACGAAATGAAGCTGCGGTTGTTGAATAACGCTTAGTTTACGATGAATGATAATGATCATGAACGTAATTATGCTGACATGTATGAGAACTACTTTATTGAAGCAGCCCTATAATAACACTTTGACCGTCAGAGTTTTATTTGGGTTGTCGTTCTTCTGGGGATACGACTTTATTGCGGGGTGCTTCATATAGATACAAGTGAACCAGAGATGTTTCTCTTTCTCCACAGGCCATTACGAATAAATGATACGCAAGTCATAACTGATACACTTTGCCTGATTTGCATTCTTCTATTACGAAGGGTATCGTAGGTGAATTAAAACAGATGAAATCACTGAAATATCTGCTGGAAATAGGTGTTTCAGTGCAAGTAAAAAGATGCACAGTCTCGAGTTGCATTTATTCATTATCACTAACTATCAATATTCAATTTAATTGTAGATTGTCTCATTTCAAAATAAGTTTTTCCCTATGCGGTTCACAAACCGTCTGAATTACTGTTGCGTACCACCGTTTGGGACCCTCTGTACTCTAGTACAGAGGGTCCCATACCCTTTAGGGTATTCTGAGATAGTCTGTTCTGGGAAAGATGCGTCTAAATACGTCTCGTCATGGGACTGGAATGGTAGGTTAAGACAAACGAATGTTTGAAATAAGGAAATGAAAAATTCATGGTGAAGTAGAGAAAAACGTGAAGACGAAACTATGATTTACAATACTCAAACAAAATGTATTGTTTCAGTGAGGACGCAATCAAAAATACTGATAGAACGTTGCTAAACCTTTACGCCAGGCAATGTGATCTCTGTGGAACGCTAACTGCCTCTGCAATCGGAAAATACGCGTTGTACCGCCCGTTGTACCCCGGTTCTCATCCGCGCGGTATTTCTTGTACGCCATTTCGGGAAGCGGCAGGTCATCAAGATGGCGAGCGGCTTGCCGCTGCACCTCCCACCCTCCTCTGGAAGAGCGATGGCGGGAGGGGGGGAGGGAGAAGGGGAGAGGGAGCAAGGCCCGAGCGACTACTTGCCCGCTAATTGAGACACGCGCCCGCGATGGAGGCGACGCGTAGCGGGTAATGATAACACCGCGGGCGGGACGCAGCGACACGCGCCACGCGCCACCGCCGCCGCCGCCTCCGCCGCCCCCGCTCCAGCGTCGGCCCCAGCTCCGCGCTCTTGTCG